TGGAGCTTAGCTGTTTGTCTGAAAGGAAGTTTGCAGTAAGTATCGAGGGGTGATGGGCCGGAGTCCTTGTCTTGGTGTGAATAATCATCCCTTTGGGTTTGGGCCACACTGAGAACTTGGCCAGTGGATTTAGCTTTTCCATCTCTGTGATGGCGGCATATGTCGTTTTGTGTCCATTTTCGTGATCCGGAATTTTGCTGGTGTCGTTGGGTGGTGGTGGTGGTGATGGGTGCCTTTTGGGCTGCTTGACGGCATTCGTTTCCCCAAAAAAGCACGTCGGCGTTATTTGTTTCTACCTTCGTCCAGTTGTCGTCCTCAGTGGCGGTAGCAGTGGTGATGGGTTGTTGGAGGTGGCGTGTTCCTCTTTTCAGGGCTTCGTTGAAGGCCCATAGCTGAGCCGCTTTCTGTGGAGCCGTCGCAGTTAGGTCGTCAGGTTAGCGGTTCAGATGGGGTAGCGGTTAGGAGGCGTACGCGCTCCATAACCTGTGGTTGTTGTTGTTGTTGTTTTGTTTTTTGTTTTTTATTAAAACCTACCTATTCCGGTTGAGTAGAGTAGCAGAGGAATTACAGCACTCCCCACTGGCCGGGTGGTCGTAAGTGGTTCTGAGCTTCTCTCCAGGCCCCGTTGGAAGCCTACTTCCTGGTGTATGTGACTGCTCACTTATAGACGAGGGCTAAGTGTATTGGGGAAGGATAAGTTGCTACCACTTTCCAGGTGGAACCGCACGATCACGGTTTTCCTGGAAAGACTCTGGCTAGGGTTTTCGCTCCCCTTTCGTGTTCACAATCTCCTGGGAGGGGGTGAAGCAGTTACAGGGGGACCAGGATGAATACACTTTTGAGGGGTGCAGGTCCTAGGCCAGAGCGAAAAAAGGAAAAATAGCAGTAAGAAGGAAAAGAGCTCAAACCAAGTGAGAATATCGCTATAACTGCTCTCAGCTGGTGTGGGTCCTCACACCACCAGTGGGGAGGGCAAGCTAATGCTCGATAAACCGAAAACGCTCGTGAGTTGTTGTCGACGATGTCAGTGGTGGATGGTCCGGTCCGGGAAGATGGCCAACAATGGCACAAGAGAGAGGCAGTCTTCACAGTTCCGGGTCCAGCAAGAGGTCTTGTTGAGAGGTCTTGTTCAGGAGCGATAGTCCTGATCGATCTTGCCTACCAAACCAAAAGAGAAGCCCGCTACGTTCTATTTTTCGGCGTCCAGGAGGAGGATGTATCTGGTGATGATCAGATAGACTAGTAGCCACCTTCCCTACCCTCCTGCAACAAGTTCTTTAGTGGAGCATAATCATCATCTAAATTCTAGAGTATGTTACCACTATTTAATATGTGTTTTTTGTTTTGTTTACTTTATTATAATAAAAATTTATTGTTTTGTGCACAGAACTTTAATTTTTCATTATTTTCACGAATAATAATCACACCATTTCATTATTTGATGTCAATGTACACCAAAATCATACATCACACTTCAATTATTACAGGATCATATCCTGCTTTCAATCGCCTTTAAGATGAGACCTCATTGAACACATCTGATCGAAATTTGGACGTTATATAACGTTTTGAATATGTGCAAACTTTAAACCTCATTCTCTCAAAACTTAATTTCCCGCGTTCGACCTTGCATTAACCAAGCCCTCAATTTACAGTGATCTATTAAGCTCCATTACCACATTGCACTACATAATTATAAATAGTTCATTTGCCTTATTCATAACAAAGCCCCACTAAACAAAAATTAGCTGTGTTCTGTTATACATTTCCAAAAACATTCGTGATACCTTACGTGAAATTAAGAGCTTTTAGCAAGGTAGTCCATCAGATTCGGAACGGGAACCCTAAACTCGAACTTTTGTCCTCCAGGAACTCCAGGATCCTGTACGGTAATTATTCTATAAAAGGGGTTCACCTCCGATGCCGCTAGCAGAGATGGTCTGTGAGGAAACCTATCGGAGGAACAGAGCGTAAGTAGGGTTTTTCTTAATTTCCTCGAACCTATTTGTGATATAGCTATTTACAGTATGCAATCCAAGAACTACAGGCATACGTATTTTACTTTTTTACTGCTTCATAGTTTCATATATTTGTATCAACACTAATAGAGACTAGTCATTTATTAATTTACCGAATCTGACTTCAGATTTTCAGTTTTAGCGTCAATAATTTGTAATGAAATACGAGTTAAGGTAGATTTCAACAGCTGAAAAAATAATCTTTTGATTTCAGGTGTTATTTAAATGAATACTGGAATAAACAGTGAGATGAGGAAAATGTTCACATTCTTCCCAACTAACTTGGAGAACTTTTCAGGAAGAGCGGAGGTGAGTGATGAGAACAAGGCCGGTGGGGCGTCCAGGAGGCCTACTTGGAACGCCTGGTCACATTGGGTTGTAGGGCAGGTACACGTACATGCTACACCTAAAGGAGAATTAGGCGCATACATGGACAACCCAGATATACTGTATATATATATATATATATATATATATATATATATATATATATATATATATATATATATATATATATATATATATATATATATATAAAAAAAAAAAAAAAAAAAAAAAAAAATATATATATATATATATATATATATATATATATGCAAGTAAATCACTGTAGGTGCGAGGGACTAGGGTAAAGATAACAAGCAAAGAAAAAATACTAGTGTGAATTACATTTCAGGGGTGAGACTGTACTGTCTGTACTACCCCTGAAGAGAATTACAAAAGCGCTGGGAAATTTCCTCCCACACAAAATATATATATATATATATATATATATATATATATATATATATATATATATATATATATATATATATATATATATATATATATATAAGGAGTAGTTTCTGACACGGCTAATATATGAAGGAGAATGAGATCAGGTCCCTAGGGACAGCAGGTGTCCACCATATTCAACCTGGTTAGGTTTTGTTAGGTTACAAACCTTCTTAGTCACAAAATTGTCCAATTTGTACATGCCATTACCAAATGCCATGTTTATATATTTCGTCTTGCTAATGAGACTAGATTCTATAATGATTCTATAGTGTTCCTACTGGCAATTGAATTACAAGGTAAGATTGAGTAGGCATTAGCTCAGTCAGTGCAATGATTATTATCTTTCATAAGAATGAACAAATCATCTGATTCCTGGCCTGTCCTAACACTATAGTTATTCTGTTTAAGTCTAGTTATAGGATCTTTGCCAGTCTTACTCAAGCAGAGAATTTTTCAGTCTGTGCAAGGAGCCTTGTAAATTCAGCAACCTGTATTGCTGGGGGAGTTCTTAATTATATTTGTTGTACAGTGCATGAGTTACTAAACGGTATATTTACATGACACATTTTTAGTTGTAGAGGAATTTGAGAGATTTTTTTGTTAAATGGTAATACTAAGAGATACTTATTGTCACGAGGAGGTTCAGGATCAGTTCTTTAAAAATGATTTCTAAGCGATGTTAAGACATCTGTCTACAAAAGAACTAGGGTATTTTAAGTTCAAACCAATATCGTAGGTATATTTATATTCCTTATCAATGAATTCCGGACTGCATATTCTTAGAGCACGTAAAAACATTGATGATAATACTGACTGTTTGACTCTATTATGTTGGGCAGAATAATAATGAATATAGGAACACACATTAGTAAGTTTCTTGTAAAATTCTGAACTAATGGTGTTGCCTACTGTGGACCAAACAGTCTAGGAATGGTAACTTACAGTCACTTTCTAATTCTACAGTAAATTTGATCGACGGGGTTAGTATTGTTAGAAAAAATTTAATTCTCATTATATGGTCAAATACATATTATATCATCTACATATCTAAACCAAACTGCTGAAGGTGGTAAAATATTTCTTAGTAGTTTCTTCTAAAAAAAAATCATACAAAACCATCTCTCGATTTCCAAGGTAGTTAAGTTCTTGAGAATGGCCGTGTAAATTAAACTGTATTATCCCATTAGAAATAAAGGTAATGGAAGGGGTCAGGTAAGACGCTCCCTAAAAACTGTAATTTGTTTATCTATTTCTTTCAATATGTTTTATCTACAATAATAATAATAATAATAATAATAATAATAATAATAATAATAATAATAATAATAATAGTAATAATAATAATAATAATAATAATAATGATAATAATAATAATAATAATGATAATAATAATGATACAAATGATAATAATAATAATAATGATAATAATGATAATAATAATAATAGTAATAATAATAATAATCATAATAATAATCATAATAATAATCATGATAATAATCATAATAATAATCATAATAATAATAATAATAATAATAATAATAATAATAATAATAATAATGATAATAATAATAATAATAATAATCATGATTATAATAATAATAATAATAATAATAACAATAATAATAATAATAATGATAATAATAATAATAATAATAATAATAATAATAATCATAATAATAATAATAATAATAACTAATAATAATAATAATGATAATAATAATGAAAATAATAATGATAATAATGATAATAATAATGAAAATAATAATAATAATAATAATAATAATAATAATAATAATAATAATAATAATAATGATGATGATGATGATGATAATAATGATGGTGATGATGATAATAATAATGATGAAAATGATGATGATGGTAATAATGATGATGATCATAATAATGATGATGATAATAATGATGATAATAGTAATGATGATAATAATAATGATGATAATAATAGTGATGATGATAATAATGATGATAATAATAATGACGATAATAATAATGACGATAATAATAATATTGATAATAATAGTAATGATAATGATAATAATAATAATAATAATAATGACAATAATAATAATAATAATAATAATAATAATAATAATAATAATAATATTAATAATAATAATAATAATAATAATAATCCAGTAACAGAAGAAAACCTAATACTACAGTAGTAAGAAAATAGATTTTAAATTACAATTTGTGTTAACATTTACGTTGAATGATGGCTGGGATGGCGTGCAGGAGGGAGTCATCTGAATCAGGTGACAGAGCAGGTGATGGGGGATGAGAAGTGGGAGGTTTCGAGATGCTAGATGTCGTTGGCTAATGTTCTGTTGATGTTAATTTTTCCTTTATCGTGGTGCAATGGCGCTCTTTTTAAGCCCGTGCTATTTTAAACACTTCGAGTTATTTTAATACATATTTTTAACCCTAGATAGGTAATGGTATAAATGTGTCTATACCTAAGGTAATAGGGGGTCCCACAGACCCAAGAGGGGAAAAATCACCCAAAATCAGGAAGTAACATTTGATGAAGTTTAAAGGCATACAGCATACAAACATTTAAGGTCTTAGCTAGGCTTCTGAGTGAAAATTAAAAAATGAATTAATAACCAAATAGCTTAATATTTTTTTTTACCCCTTTACACTTCTGTTCATATAAAAAAAAATAAAAAAAATATATGAGGTACAACGAATTCCCTTGTCTGGCCCTGAGAGAAGAAGAATGGGGCGCCATACATAACAACATAACATAAGAAAAAAAGGAGTCTGCAATAGGCCGATTGGCCTGTGCATGGCAGCTCCTGTCGAGAGTTACTACCACTCTCTATCATCCATGAATCTATCTAGCCTCCTTTTAAAACTTTCTAGCGTTCCAGCACTAACTACAAAGTTGCTAAGCTTGTTCCACTCGTCCACCACCCTATTTGTGAACCAGTTTCTTCCTATCTCCCTCCAAAACCTAAACTTATCCAACTTAAATCCGTTGCTCCGAGTCCTATCCTGCTTGGATATTAAAAGAACTTTATCTATATCGCCCTTATTGATTCCCTTCACGCACTTAAAAAATTCTATCATATCTCCCGCACTCTTCGTCTTTCTAGGGAATGCAAGTTTAGTTTCTTTAACCTATCCTGATATGGAAGGTTTCTAAGTCCCGGAATCATTTTCGTCATTCTTCGCTGCACCGACTCTAGTGAATTGATATCCATTCTATAATAAGGGCATCAGAACTGAACGGCATAATCGAGGTGCGGTCTGACTAGCGCAAGATATAGTTGCAATAAGACATATGCACTCTTATTACTTACACTTCTAGATATAAAACCTAATACTCTGTTGGGCCTTATTTCGAACATTAACGCACTGTTTTCTAGGCCGTAGGTCCGGGCTTACAAGTACCCCTAAGCCTCTTTCACAAGTCGACCTTTCTAGGTTCATGTTGTTATGGCTGTATACAATGACAGTATTTGCTCTTCCAATATTAAGTACGCTGCACTTGCTGGTGTTGAATTTCATTTGCCATTTCTCTGACCACTCCTGCAGTTTATTTAAATCCTCCTGTAATGCATTTGCATCCTGCCATGAATTAATCTGCCGCCCTATTTTGGTGTCATCCGCAAACTTGCTTATGTCACTGCTGATTCCAGTATCTAGATCGTTTATGTAGATTATGAACAAGAGTGGGCCCAGTACTGACCCCTGGGGAACCCCACTGCTTACACAGCCCCACTCAGATTAAAACTATCTACGCTGACCCTCTGTGTTCTATCGGTGAGCCATGATTTATCCAATTTAAAAATTTCCCCTCGATACCATGGGCCTTAAATTTTCTCAGAAGCCTGTGATGCAGTAATCTGTCAAACGCTTTGCTAAAGTCTAAGCAAATAACATCGTAATTTTTGTCATTATCTACTACCTCGAAGACTTTCCTAAAAAAAAGTCAGCAAATTTGTTAGACAAGATTTTTCCCTTTGTAAACCCATGTTGAGAGTCGCAGATTAATTTGCTTTTCTCTAAATGCCATCAAATGCTATTTGCTATAATTGATTCAAGAAATTTCCCCACTACTGACGTCAAACTAATCGGCCGGTAATTTGATGCTGTTGCACTGTCTTCCCTTTTTGAATATGGGTACTACATTTGCCTGTTTCCACAAGTCTGGCACAACTCCCGTGTCTAATGATTTTGTAAATATATTTACGAGGGGTTCGCTAATCTGTTCCATACACTCTTTCAAAACTCGAGGGAAAATTTTTTCCTGCCCTGGGGATTTTGTCTTCTTTAATTTATTTATCTTCTTAAGAACATCCTCTTTTCTGATAGTGATATTCTTTAATTTATCTTCTTCATTTCCCCTAAATATCAGTTCCACCTCTGGAATTTCCTAGTGAATTTCTTCTGTGAAAACTGATAAAAAGTAGCTGTTCAATGCTTTGCTTGTTTCCCCTCTGTCATCGATCACTTACCCCCTCTCTGACTTTTAATGCCCAACTTTGTCCTTGTCCTTTGTCCTATATACCTGGAAAAATCCCTTGGGATTCGTCTTGGATTCTCTTTCTATCCTGATTTCGGAGTCCCTCTTTACCTTCCTTACATTTTTCTTAACATTCCTAGATAGTTCATTATACCTATTTCTGAGCTGCTCCTCCCCTCCTTTTAATTTCTTATAAATTCCTTTCTTTATTCCTAGGTCATATTCAAGTTTTCTGGTCATCCACCTTGGCTCATTCTTATTTGACCTAATTTTTCTGCATGGTATATTTTGTTCTTGTGCTTTACGTAGTATACGAGTGAATATATTATAGTCACGATCAATTGTAGTGTCACCTGTGACCTCACCCGTTCCTACTGAGGACTGACCTGACTGTTCCCAGGCGACTTCACTTAGGTACCTTCTTAACCCCTGATAATCCTCTAATCGAAAGTTTGGGAGTCTGACCATATTGTCATTGTTTTTCGTTTCCCAATTTAGGGTGAACCTGATTTCTCTGTGATCACTGTTCCCTAGTTCTTCCCCTACTGTGAAATCTCTGATAATATTTTCTTTATTTGTTAATACAAGGTCTAATATATTGTTACCTCTAGTAGGTTCTGTAATTAGTTGTTTCAAAAAAAATTGTCCTGTACTGCGTCTAGGAAGTCTTCAGATTCATAGTCAACTATAGTATTGTCCTAGTCAATATTTCTGAAATTGAAATCCCCCATAATGCACAGGTTGTTATATTTTGCTGCCCTAATCATTTCCTGCCATATGGGCTGAGCTGCTTCTTTCCCAAGACTTGGGGGCCTGTAACTCACTCCCATAATTAGTTTTTCTCTTCCTTCCTCAATTTCTACCCATACAGACTCTGTTCCAATTTTACCCTTTATTAAATTATTAATACAACATTTCAATGTATCCCTGACGAAGAGTGAAACCCCTCCACCCTTCCTACCTTCCATGTCCTTGTGAAAAAGGTTTTACCTTTCTATGTGGTACTGTGATAAAAAGTTCTTGCTCGGCAGATTCATCCAAGTTTTGGTGATTGCTATGACGTCTATATTCTGGTATATACAACCGCTCTCAGCAAGTCCATTGTATTTCTAACGCTCCTACTGTTTGTATAGTATATACATTTAAGCTTACTCTACCCTGGTTCTGTTTTGCCCCTTGTCCTGAGTAACCAATTTTACTCCCCAGGACCTGCTTGTTTTTTTACGCCCACTTTCCCCGACCTCTCTCTACTGGCGAAACCCCCCATTTGGAGTGACAATTTCACGCTCCAGGGATGCAGACAACATCTTTACCCATAGAATGGTTGCCAATTATCACTGAATGCCCAACCATTGCCTGCAAAATGCTTTCCAGTCGGCAATTTATTGCAATTGCCCTGGACAGCCATTCACGACCAATGCCCCTTCTATGCAAGACACCACACTGTCAATAGCAGTCACGAGGCACCGCCAGAAAACTGCAGGAAATGAAAATGAAAATTAGCAATTTCTTATGCGTTATTCTTTTACGTGTTTCATATAGGGCACTTTGTAGTTCCTATATGGACCATGTGTAATGATATATATGCATGAAATTACAGATGAAATTAATATAAAATATGTATATTGGTTTGATGCATAAAAGAATGATATCTACCTGGCTTACTGGCGTTCATGGCAGAGTAAGTAGGAGTGACGTGCACAGACGTTGCATCTGCAAGTGATGCAGGTCTTTCTCCATAATATCTCATAGGTTTCATCAATACTGATATTTTCCCGACACATTGCTCATAAAAGTCTATGAGAATATTTCTGAAAAGTATTTATAACCTGCAAAGTTAAAATATACATAAATCTATGCACGTTTGAAACAACGTACTATTGCCTCCCTGAAAAAACACAAATACGTTTCATCCAAAACTAGGATGTTCATATTTCAGCACCAAAGCACTTCAAATCTACATAATTTTATTGCAAAAACACTCTAGTTTAAAAATAATGCATCAACAAACGTCTATTGGTTTGTTTGGTACTGTAAATCATGTCTTTCCAAGGTAGTATGTAGTAGGCAGCTACCAAACAGGGAGGTAATACCACCTGCGAAGATATTGGAAGCATAATAATATGTCTAATGGTAGACCCTGCTACCATATGTCATCACGAAAATTGTGACCAAGTACCAGGTTGCTGGTCTGCCTTTCTGCCTCATTTGCACACAATTTCAGGGTCTCAAGTGTTTCTTTTACTTTGACAACACAACATACTTACTGTACATCGTTAACCACTATTGATTTTTTCTTTACGATTCTTTATTATTATTAATATTTTTACAATGTTGTTATTATTATTATTGTTACCATTATCATTATTATTTTATTATTATATTTTTAATTTTGCATTTTTATTACAAATTCTATTTACTATAAATTAATAATAATAATGATAATACTAATGGCTAGTGCTACTTGTGAACAGGGTTGTGCCCTTTTGTGGGCTGAGTTAGAGAGGGCCAAGGGAGAAATATTGAAATTAAAGGAAGAAACGAGACAGGAAAAGCAGGTGTCTGACGAAAACTCAGGCGAATGGAAGGTTGTGAGGAGAGGGACGACCAAATTGGTCGTGAAAAAACCCATCAAGGATACTTCAACAACAGCTAAGTGTACCAACTCTTTCAGTCCTTTGATAGATGAATTGGACGTTAGTATAGTCAGGGACAGGACTGACAAGGAAGGTACGAAAATTTAATTGTTGGCGACTCACAGGTACGGTACTTGGACAGAGCTTTTTGTGGTAAAAATAAAAACACCATGAGGGTGTGTTTGCCAGGAGCTGGGGTTGGGGATATAGTTGACAGGATGGACAATATCTTATCTGGTAATGGGAACAAACCCATTATCTGCTTCAGTGCAGGAGGCAATGATATTGGCAGGTGTAGGAGTAACGAGCTTCTTGATAAGTTCAAAGCAGCTATAGAACGTATTAGGACTAAGGGAGGGATCCCTATCATATGTGGTGTCCTGCCTAGAAAGAGAGTTGGCAATGATTGGTTGTCAAGGGCAGTTGGTGTCAACGGCCGTCTTGACAGATATTACAAGTCAATATCAGTCCCATTCATTGACAACTGGGACAACTTCTACGGCAGAAGGGACCTTTTTGCCAGGGATGGGGTGCACCTGTCTAGGGATGGGGTGGCAACCCTGGCTGGGTCTCTCGAGAGGGCAGTTCAAAAGATATCGAAGTCTTTAAACTGCTACGGGGAACATATGAGCACGGGGGTGGAGGAGCCTGCAGTAGGAGCGGGTAAACAAAGTGAAAGGTTACAGGGAAATAGTGTTAGGAATGATGACAAAACTAAGTTAGACAGGCAGTTAAAACCTACTACGCGAACAGTAGAAGTATGAGAAACAAAATGGATGATATTAGGGCCTTGGTATGTACCGAAAAAATCGATATAATAGCATTCACTGAAACATGGATAAACCTAGTCTCATGTGAGTTACCTGTCGAATAGCAAATTGCAGTTTACAAATTATTCCATACAGATAGGCAGATTCGGAAAGGAGGCGGAGTAGCAATCTATGTAAGGGATAATTTAAAGTGTGAAATAAATAAGGAAAGAAAAACTGAGCGGAATACAGAAACAATTTGGATAGAATTAATCGACGGTAGGAAAAAATTAATCACAGGAGTAATATATAGACCTCCCAATCTTGATAGAGTTAATGAGCGACTTATTTGGGATGAAATGCTCAGGGCTTCCATACACAGCACAGTCTGTATGGTAGGCGATTTTAACTTTAGCCAAATAGATTGGATTGACCTTATGGGTAACTTAGAATTAGAGGATTTTCTTGAAACGATCCAGGACTGTTTCCTAAATCAACATATAACCGAACCCACCGGGGGTAACAATATACTCGATTTAGTCCTGTCGAACAGAGAAAACCTCATAAGTAATGTCGAGGTAGGGAACAACTTACAAACAGCGATTACAAAGAAATTAGATTCCAGTTAGATTTTCAGGGCAGCCATAAGGAAAATTCCACAAAAGTCCCAGATTTCAGAAGGGCAAACTTTGATAGTTTGAAGAAGCAGTTGAGAGAAAGGGTATCACGCATGGGGGTGAACTACATGACCTCACATGAGGTGACCTCACTCAATGTACCCAATGTACCCAATGTACCCAATGTAACCTCATCGTACCCAGAGACCTGACGGTTGAGACTGACCTGATTACGAGATCTGAGGTTACCGAGTTCCACGACAATTTAAATATTGAGTTACTTAATGCACAAAGGCAGAACATACGATACAAAAAACTGAGATCAAACAACAATGACCATAAATGGATGAATAATTATTTAAAGAACATTATTGGTCAAAGGAAGGCCATAGGTAGAAGGATAAATCGTGGCGAAGTTTACCTCCGAGATTATTATAAGGTATTGGCAGGTAGGGTTAAGACCGAGATAAGAAAAGCAAAGAGGAATAATGAGCTGAGGATAGCAAGGGAGGCGAAGTCAAACCCCAAGGGATTCTATCAAATGTATCAAACTAAAACAGGAGAAAAGATTGGACCAATACAGTCAGATACCGGCGAGCTATCTGATAATGACGGAGAAATGAGCAATAATCTGAATAAATATTTTTCAACAGTTTTCACCACCGAAAATTTAAACATGATACCGGAGGCACCTACTCTATACAGAGGTAGTGAAGAAAACCAATTAAGCGAGATAGTAGTGACTAGTAACAATGTAAGTAAGCAAAGAGAAAAACTAAGGCCTAATAATTCACCTGGTCCTGATGAGCTATTTGCCACAGTATTAAAGGAATGTAAGGAAGAGCTTAGTATGCCCTTAGCAAAGTTGTTTAACATGTCCTTAAAAGCAGGTGTAGTACGAGAATTCTGGAGGATAGTGAATGTAATACCGATTTTCAAGAAGGGAGATAGATCACTATCCTCTAACTACCATCCAATCAGTCTAACATCAATTGTAGGCAAATTACTGGATGCAATCATTTCAAATTCTATCCGAAATCACCTAGAGAAGCACAAGTTGATCAATAATTCCCAGCATGGCTTCACAAGCGGGCGTTCATGTCTAACTGATCTATTAACATTCTTTTCTTCAGTGGACGAGTGGCACAATTATGATGTGGTATATCTCGACTTTAGCAAAGCCTTCGACAGAGCCCCCCACGAAAGAATAATAAGAAAAATGGAGGCTCATGGCATCCAAGGTGATATTCTAAAATGGATTAGGGCGTGGTTACAGGACAGGAAACAGCGAGTGAGCATTAACCGCACTAAATCCCATTGGAGCAACGTCAATAGTGGAGTTCCCCAAGGCTCAGTACTCGGACCATTATTATTTATTATATACATAAACGACATAGATATCGGCATAGACAGCAACATAAGTAAATTTGCTGATGACACTAAAATAGGACGTGTAATTAAATCTGAAGAGGAGTCCGCAAAACTACAGGAAAATCTAAACAAATTTTTCGAATGGTCTGAAAAATGGCAGTTGAAATTCAATGTGGACAAATATAAAGTACTCAGTATAGGAGATGTAAACAGGGAAACCAAATTCCCAGATGAACAACGATATTATTGAGAAATCCGACTGCGAGAGAGATTTAGGAGTAATGATAAGTAGGAATCTTAAGCCAAGTAAACAATGTGTTTTGCTCGAAACAAGGCTAATAAAGAACTTGGGTTCATACAAAGGAGTGTTAGTTACAAGATTAGCGAGGTCATCTTAAAACTATATCTTGCTCTTGTGAGACCTCAATTGGATTACACAGTTCAATTCTGGTCACCATATTACAGAATGGATATAGAATCCTTGGAAAGAATTCAGAGGAGAATGACAAGACTAATCCCGGGCATTAGGAACCTTGACTACAGAGACAGGTTAAAGCATCTTAATTTGCACTGCCTCGAGAGACGTAGAGCGACATGATAGAGGAGTATAAATGGAAGTCAGGGCTAAACAATGGGGACATTACAAGGTACTCAAACTATCCAATCAGGAGCGAACTCGTAACAATGGTTTTAAATTAGACAAATTTAGATTTAGGCGTGAAATAGGTAAATATTGGTTTGGAAATACAGTAGTGTTGAGTGGAACAATATCATCATTAACTCGAATACGCTGGATAGCTTCAATCATAGGTTGGATGCTTATATGAGCAATAGGGGTTGGGTGTAAATGGGATTGCGCAGTATGGGCCAATAGGCCTGCTGCAGTTTCCTCCATTCCTATGTTCTTATGTTAATAATAATAATGATAATAATAATAATAATTATAATAATAATATTATTATTATTATTTTATTATATTTTAATTTTGTATTTTTAATATAAATTTTATTCACTGTGAGTTATTATTCTTATTCTTATTCTTATTCTTATTATTATTATTATTATTATTATTATTATTATTATTATTATTGTTACATTTTCGCCCTCATGCCCCAATGTGGGTCAGTGACCTGTGCCAGGGTGGGCTAATCCCCGTAAAAAAAAAAAAATAAAAATAAAAAACACTTGCCATCACGTGGCACATGCGAGTTCCTCGGTCTAAGATTCGGTATGGGGGGGTTCTGTGTACCTCAAACAAATGTGAATGTCAATGAGCGAACACCAATACAGATACACACACATTCCCACTACAACTGTTCATTGTATTACACTTTAAATCATAATATTTCGTCTAAACAATGCGACGGAACCGCAGGTGCACTTTGAGTACCATGGGGTGCCAATGGACCTCAGGGTCTTTGCTATTAGGCCTTGGATCGGGAGCGACACACAACACACCTTCACTCTGCGAGAGCATGAGGCAGACTGACTGCAGACTGGACGCCAAGGTCCAAGATCGCCCAGCAAATACATCCAATCACCAACTAGCTAAATGCTGTTCGTCGTGGGGATTTTTGGACCCCACATTACCTATCTAGGGTTTAATACTAGTGTTATTTTAAAAAGGTGCAAATTGAATCTGTGTAAATCGAATCAAGAAGTGACTATAGAATAAATGTTAATTAAGAACTCCACCAGCAATGCAGGCGACTGAATTTTCAAAGTTCCTTGCAAGGAATCTAATAGTTTCTACTTAGCTCAATCGGGCAAAGTTCTTATAACTCGACTGGGCTAATGTCTCTTCAATCTTACTTTGTAATTCAATTGTCAGTTGGAACATGATGGAATCTACAGGGGGTGTAGTCGCAATAAACATACCGAATATGTCAACATGAATTTGAGTAATGGCATGTACAAATTGGAAATTTTTTTGAGTAAGAAGATTTGTAACCAGGTGAAATGGTCTGGTCGCTACTTAATGACTTGAATATGAAGGACACCTACTCTTCTTTGGGACTTGATCTTACTCTCCTTTATATGTTAGCCTCGTTAGTAACTACTCCTTAGTCTGTACTCACCCCTGAAGATGTGAATTACACGAAATCGCTTGGGAACTTCGTGTTTTCTTGGATCCTCGTAGTTATCAGCACACACACACACACACACACACACACACATATACAGGTATATATATATATATATATATATATATATATATATATATATATATATATATATATATATATATATATATATATATATATATATATATATATATATATATATATATATATATATACTAGCAAAATCGCCGCCCTCCGGGCGGCTCTTTCGAGAGGCCACGGTAGGACGCCACCCTCCGGGAGGCTCCACATTGTCTCACTGTAGTGCATTAAGGTCGATCACATTTTTGGTTTTGCCATTTGCAGTAAGTATGTACAGATTTTTGCCAGTTCCCACTCTGGAGCATCCAACATAGAAATGTCCATGAGAGAAGCATGGAAACACCAGGTTTAGGCCAACCGTCTTCAGGGACTGTCCCTGGCTTTTGTAGATGGTCATGGCAAACCTTACTTTAACCGGGAACTGAAGTCGCTTGAACTCAAATAGCAGGTCTTGCAAGGTCCTGTCCAATGCTTAAAACGCTAACTTGTGAGACATAGTGCATTCATCCCAGACTATGAGGCTGCATTTTCTAAGAGTTTTGCCTTTGCCGATCCTTTTTTGATGTTGCACACTGGATTCTCATTGTGAGCGAGGTTGAGAGGCAGTTTAAAAGTTGAGTGTGCAGCACGTCCTCCTTCTAGTAGTGTTATAGCAATTCCTGAGGATGCCACAGCAAGAGCAAGTTTCCCCTGATGACGTACTTTGGCCAACAGAAGGTTGATCAGGAATGTTTTTCCTGTCCTGCCAGGTGCATCGAGAAAGATCATACCTCCGTGCTCCGCTTGTATCGCTTGATCAGGCACCACGTGCGGCTCATTTTCTTCAAAAAATTTCACCAGAACTTCAAATGAGTAGGCTGTCTCTCTGAGCAACTCCCTGTTTGCAACTACTGGTTCTTCTCTGTTTGGGGAAGGCAATCCAAAATCAGTCAGATTTTTTCCGCATAGCTCCATCACTTTGTCTTCCAGCATGATCAGAACCCCGTTGAATATGTCATCCATGAACTCAATCTCTTGACCAGGATGTTCTCTTCTTGCTTGATGAAGCAGATCCTCTGAAAGACCCTCTTGGTGGTTTTCCCAGAGCTGGCTTGGGTTGAAAAGTCCACATGTAGCAATCATGATGGCAAACAGGTTCCTCATTCTCATTGGCGATTGAGTAGCTGCTGCCTCTTCTAATGTGTCATTCCAGTGACCATCATCTTCCAGTATGCCAAAGAGATTGCACGCTTCCCGATAGGTTCTGCAGACTTGTCCATTCACTGTCTTGAGTGCTGCATAAGATGTTGGGCCACGGATGTGGTGCAAAAGTAGTCTCAAACAATAGCATTCAAAGTTGTTGGGGTGAACAGTGTAGACACGTCCCAAAGCATTGCCTGACTTTATCGCTGGATATCCTTCAACATCGGATCCTTGAGCTCTTCTCTGGAACTTTTTCATTAAGGCCTGCCATATGTAGAACTTGGGTACGTCAACATACAGGAGTATTTTAGTAAACTCATCTTTGTGTGAAAGCTTAAAGAATGCAGTGAGAGTCGTATCAGCAGGATTTGTCATTTGATTTTGGAGGGACTCTTCTGTGAAGTAAACTCTTTGTCCATTTTCCAGGTGAACAGCCAGATGAACTACTGTTGAACATCGTTCGTGTATGGGAAAATTAAAAATTCTCCATAGGGCTTCATTGCTGCATATATAACGGCCTTGCTGAAGCTGTGTCACCTCATCATAATTTCCATCCTTTTCCAATGCAAAGATCCCTTGGTCAGAGCCTTTGTTGACGTATTTGCAGACATACTTGATGGACTTGACTGAATTGCAGAACTCCACATTGATGTGCGCATTGAATGCTTTACTCAAAAGAGGATTGTAGGGGACCACCCATTTGTTGTCTACTGTTATTTCACTGTCTGTTGCACCAAAAACTTCTTTGGGGAAGTTTTTGGTGCAACGTCCATCTTTCATGCATGGAGAGTGTCTGTTGAATAGTCCACATGGCCCATGAATCATTTGCTTCTTGATAATCTCATAGAGAACTAGATCTTTTTCGGGTACAGGAAACTCTGCTCGTATGCAGTTGTCAATCATGTTCGGTCGAAATTTCTCTTTCAGCCAGATCAAGACATGGGCATGTGGTAGACCTCGTTTCTGCCACTCAATGGAATACATGTAGCACCGATCAATAGTTCATTAACAGTGTATGTAAGTTCCACCATGTTTTTCACTACAACGGTACAGCAAAGTATATTTTTTTAGCATTAAACTGTCACTATTTTATTGTCTAATCATCACTACATATAACACCATTAATCATCACTACATATAACACCATCCATCATCACTACATATAATACCATCCATCATCACTACATATAACACCACCCATCATCACTACATATAACAACATCCATCATTACTATATATAACATCGTCCATCATCACCACATATAACACCATCCATCATCATCACTACATATAACACCATCCATCATCACTACAGATCGGTAAAGTAATTTCCGAGATTCTCATGCGGACACACACACACACAAACAAACACACAGACATACTTCTTTGTGTTTTATATATATATATATATATATATATATATATATATATATATATATATATATATATATATATATATATATATATATATATATATATATATATATATATATCACAGTACCGGTGGTTCGTCGAATCATCGTTGATAATGGCCAACACGGCATTAATCTTGGAAAATGCCCTCTGTAGGTGGTGGAGCTTCTCGAGGGGCAGGTGGGTGACGGCGAGGAGCCTCGTCGACCACACCAGGAGGCGGCTCTTGAGGGACCACTCGGCGAAGGCGGCGAGGAAGGCTGGGTCGTCGCTGATGAGCACAATTGTCGTGTGTGATGACATTTGCCGCAGCTGTTAACAACGAAATGGTACTGTTTGACTGACCTGTCACTGGCAGTAATGTGGGAGTGGGTACTTCCTCTAGCACCACTGTAAGAGTGGCTAACTTGACCAACAATAAAGAGTGACTAACTGTAACACCCTTGTAATATTTACCGCTTCTAGTACTCATGTGACGTTGACTTACTATAACAGCATTGTTAATGAAGACCTTTGTAAGGGATAAAGAATTCTAGCACCACTATAACAATGTCTCACTAGAGCATCACTAGAAGTAACTCTCTCTACACCATTGTGATTGACTAACTCGCCTCGGTAATAATTAAAATAATCTACCCTATTCAGTATCAGTGTGAGAGTGACAACAAAGTTACATACTGTTCAAGAATTACCTGTTTTATTACACAGATTACATGAGAGAGCTGCGTGTTTATATTGTCAATATATTGACCCTCCACCACTACCTCAAAAACACCAACACCTCCGGGAATAGGCAGCTCCTCTTCCAACTGAAAAGATACTGTGTTAATGTTGAATAGAAATTTGTTGTGTGTTAATGCAATTTGCGTCTGATAATTTGAATGTGTCACGTTGCATATCAGTAACAGCCAAGCCACCACTCTACCTTGAAAATGGTGGATGCAGATGTGCTGCCGTCTGTGAGGAAAAAGACTGAGAATTTGGAATATGCCAATGTGGCCAACACCTCCTTCACCACACCCAGCACCGATGACGATGTACTTTGTTTACCTGTCAAAACACAAGGAAGGTGGTTTAAATAAATATTCATACCATATATATATATATATATATATATATATATATATATATATATATATATATATATATATATATATATATATATATATATATATATATATATATATATATATATATATATATATATATATAGAGATAGATAGATAGATAGATAGATAGATAAAATCACACAGGGAAAAGAGAAACAATGGAGCACCTTAGCTTTCGTCTTTATTGAAGACATCTTCAGAGGCAACTGAATTACATGGACAGAGAGAGGCTTAAGTACACAGACAAATTAGGTCAAATAATAATGAGCCAAGATGGATGACCAGAAAACTTAAACATGAGATAGGAATAAAGAAAGGAATTTATAAGAAATTCAAGAGAGGGGAGGAGCAGCTCAGAAATAGGTACAATGAACTATCTAGGAATGTTAAAAAAAATGTAAGGAAAGCAAAGAGAGACTATGAAATCAAAATAGCAAGAGAATTCAAGGCGAATCCCCATGGATTTTTCCAGGTATAAAGAACAAAGGTCAAGGAATAAGTTGGGCCTTTAAAGTCAGGGAGGCGAGAAGTGATAAATGGCAGTGAAGAAATAAGCAAAGTATTGAACAGCTACTTCTTATCACTTTTCACAGAAGAAATTCGCGAGGAAATTCCAGAGGTGGAACTGATATTTAGGGGAAAGGAAGAAGAGATATTAAAGAATATCACTATCAGAAAAGAGGATATTCTTAAAAGGATAAATAAACTAAAGAAGACAAAATCCCCAGGGCAGGATGAAATTTTCCCTCGAGTCGTGATAGAGTGTAGGGAACAGATTAGCGGACCCCTCGTAAATTTATTTACAAAATCATTAGACACCGGAGTTGTGCCAGACTTGTGGAAACAGGTAAATGTAGTACCCATAATCAAAAAGGGAAGACAGTGCAACAGCATCAAATTACCGGCCGATTAGTTTGACGTCAGTAGTGGGGAAATTTCTTGAATCAATTATAGCAAATAGCATTTGATGGCATTTAGAGAAAAGCAAATTAATCTGCGACTCTCAACATGGGTTTACAAAGGGAAAAATCTTGTCTAACAAATTTGCTGACTTTTTTTTAGGAAAGTCTTCGAGGTAGTAGATAATGAAAAAAATTACGATGTTATTTGCTTAGACTTTAGCAAAGCGTTTGACAGATTACTGCATCACAGGCTTCTGAGAAAATTTAAGGCCCATGGTATCGAAGGGAAAGTTTTAAATTGGATAAAATCATGGCTCACCGATAGAACATAGAGGGTCAGCGTAGATAGTTTTAATCTGAGTGGGGCTGTGTAAGCAGTGGGGTTCCCCAGGGGTCAGTACTGGCCCACTCTTGTTCATATTCTACATAAACGATCTAGATACTGGAATCAGCAGTGACATAAGCAAGTTTGCGGATGCAAATGCACTACAGGAGGATTTAAATAAACTGCAGGAGTGGTCAGAGAAATGGCAAATGAAATTCAACACCAGCAAGTGCAGCGTACTTAATATTGGAAGAGCAAATACTGTCATTGTATACAGCCTTAACAACATCAACCTAGAGAAGTCGACTTGTGAAAGAGACCTAGGGGTACTTGTAAGCCCGGACCTATGGCCTAGAAAACAGTGCGTTAATGTTTAAAATAAGGCAAACAGAGTATTTTTTTTTTTTTACGGGTATTAGCCCACCTGGACACAGGTCACCGACCCACATCAAGGCCCGGGGGGCGAAAACGTAATAACAATAATAATAACAACAATAATAATAATAATAATAATAATAATAATAATAATAATAATAATAATAATAATAATAATAATAATAATAATAATAACAATAATAATAATATTAATAATAATAATAATAACAATAATAATAATAATATTTCAGATTAGTAAAATTTATAATAAAAAATACAAAAATAAAAATAAAATAATAATGATAACAATAATAATAATGAAAACACTGATATAATAATAATTATAATAATAATAATATGGAACCATAAAGAAATTAAAAAAAAAAGATCATTAGTGAGAAACGATATATGTATGTTGTGTTGTCAATAGCAAGAGAAACAATTGAAACCCCGCAATTGTGTGTAAATGAGGCAGAAAGTCAGATCAGCAACCTGGGACTTGGTCACAATTTTTGCAATGACATATGGCAGCAGGGTCTACCATTAGACAACACATTATGCATCCAATATCTTCCCAGGCGGTAGTACCTCCCTGTTTGGTAGCTGCCTACTACCTACTACTACTACCTTCTACTACCTACTACTACCTATCTAGAAGTGTCAGTAATAAGAGTGCAGAGGTCTTATTGCAACTATATCTTGCGCTAGTCAGGCCGCACCTCGATTATGCAGTTCAGTTCTGGTGCCCTTATTATAGAATGCATATCAATTCACTAGAGTCGGTGCAGCGAAGAATGACGACAATTATTCCGGGACTTAGAAACTTTCCATATCAGGATAGGTTTAAGAAACTAAACTTGCATTCCCTAGAAAGATGAAGAGTGCGGGGAGATATGACATAAGTATTTAAGTTGGTGAAAGAAATCAATAAATGGGATATAGGTAAATTTCTTATACTATCCGAGCAGGATAGAACTCGGAGCAACGCGAGGTACATATATATACTTCATTTTTAGTCCATATAACACGCGGACTTTGAACATATAATCAACAACCTCACCAGCAAGGAATCGAACCCTCGACCTATTGGGTGTGACTAGGGAACGCTTACCGGCTAGGCCACAAGGACACTAAAAGCAGTTCTAGACTCTGTTATATTTCACACAAAGCCTGTTCATCGAGCTGATGGCGCCGTGAACCTCCGCCGTGAAAGTCCGCGTGTTATATGGACTAAAAATGAAGTATATATATGTACCTCGCGTTTCATACCAGCTGGATTCGGTAAAATGCTACTGACACCACATAAGAGGCACGGGCAGTTTCCCAATGAGGTTCACGGCGCCATCAGCTCGATGAACAGGCTTTGTGTGAAATATAACAGAGTCTAGAACTGCTTTTAGTGTCCTTGTGGCCTAGCCGGTAAGCGTTCCCTAGTCACACCCAGTAGGTCGAGGGTTCGATTCCTTGCTGGTGAGGTTGTTGATTATATGTTCAAAGTCCGCGTGTTATATGGACTAAAAATGAAGTATATATATGTACCTCGCGTTTCATACCAGCTGGATTCGGTAAAATGCTACTGACACCACATAAGAGGCACGGGCAGTTTCCCAATGAGGTTCACGGCGCCATCAGCTCGATGAACAGGCTTTGTGTGAAATATAACAGAGTCTAGAACTGCTTTTAGTGTCCTTGTGGCCTAGCCGGTAAGCGTTCCCTAGTCACACCCAGTAGGTCGAGGGTTCGATTCCTTGCTGGTGAGGTCGTTGATTATATGTTCAAAGTCCGCGTGTTATATGGACTAAAAATGAAGTATATATATATATATATATATATATATATATATATATATATATATATATATATATATATATATATATATATATATATATATATATATATATATATATTTAAAACCAATGAAAATGACGGGAGTCTTACGTACACAACTAAAACATACAGGAAGTATTACCTTAATATATAGTGGAAGTGATTTTCTGAATATAAAAGCGTGAGTTTCAAGCTATATGTTTCAGTGTTTCATCATAAGCAATTCAGGGAGGGTGTGCTTGCTGCATACCGGGATAACGTAACTCATCTCTCCTTGAGGGATTGTGCAAGTTAAATCAAATAAAACATAAATTAAAGTGATGTGAGATTATTAACATATCAATAAAAATAGTAAAGTTTATGACTATCCAGAGTACAAGAGAAAAAATCTCAATTTACCGTGAACGATTTTTCTTCTCTTTTTTTTTTTGGAGAAAGAAGGGATGGAAGAAGATTAGAGTGGGGGTAAGGGAGTCAATAGTTCTGAAACTGAAGAAATGTAGGAGGAGGTAGAAGGAGGCGGGATAGTTAAGCTAATAGTGATTTTCTTTTTTTAATATTTGTACGAATGTTACCGACACGGACTTTAGGCTAGAATGCTGGACTGCCCATTACTGGGAAATCTCCATCATCTTTTTTGAGTATATAACTATAATTTCCAACAAGTAATGGTGTGAATGTTCGGTAAGAAACCGTAGAGTTTCTTGAGTTGGTGGTTAGTCTTTTGGCAACCTTCTCTGCTGTGACAGGGGGTTGCAAGTTTTTCCTAACTAATTGTGTTCCAGGGAACTATGAGGTAGTGCTGCAATGAGTTTTTTGCTTCTCTATCGCACGTCTTGCACGTCAGCTCCTCTGCTGGTACTTGTATACCTATTTCCCATTTGCACGGGTAGCCCAGTCTTAGTCGGTGAAGGATGCTTTCTTCCCATCTTGTCATATCCATCGTTATTTGCACCTGACTGGGTGTGATTTTCATTTCACTCTTTTCGCTGTTCAAGAGCACCCTTGGCAGCATCGTCAGATCGTTCATTCCCTGTGATTCAGACATGGCTGGGCACCCAGTTAATGGTAAAATGCAGGAGACCAACAGCAGTTGTCTCTGGGTTCTCTACACTGTAGTGCTTCAATAGCACATCGAGAGTCAGTGTGTATTGTAACGTATTGTTGACTGTTTATGGAAACGTGTCGTAGGACTCCATGTATGGCAGCTAGCTCTACTTGTAAAGTGGAGCAGCCATTTGAAGTTCCCGAAAGGACCGTGTCACCCCCTTCTATGATGAATGCTGCTCCTGACTTCGTATTGTTGGGTTCTACGGAACCGTCTGTGTGATACACTGTTCTATTGTGCGGTGTTACAGTTTTCATGTTTCTTTCTGCTACCTGTCGGAGCTCGTGTGGGTTTCTGTCGGCCTTTCTTATCCCAGCTTTTATAATATTGAAGACTGCTGGGGGGTGACTCCCACAGTGCTGGAGTACTGTAGTCTTCACTAACTGTGTCAGGGCGTTCACTAA